GTGATCAAAGTGCTAGAACTCGGCGTCTCAACCCCTTCTGACGGCCCCTTCCACTGGCACACCCATCGGCGGCAGTCAAAGAAGAAGATTTGCCATTTCACTCTGGCCACCAAAACCGACTGGGTGTCATGTCGGCCGGGCAGAACTAGTCGATTCATACCAAGCTGGTATGTAAGAACCAACCGGCTCATGGAAGTCAGATGCGGTGCAGTCATATTAGAGAAAACAAAGTGCTTGCACGAATGGCAGACAGGAAAGTCCGGATAAAACCACGCAATGCATATGAAACCGGCCCGTGTTCTCCCATCAGGAGACGAGTTCTACTCAGAGAAAAAAAAACACTAATACTTATTTACTTAATACTTATGTATCCATGCACAAGAAATGGTTAAATGAAAACAAGCACTCCCTCAGCACGCACTCCACACCTTCACCAAATATGGCATGTCTCCCCAAGCAAACTTAGAGAGCAGCATCTTGATTGCATCAGATAACCCATCTGTGGTGGAAAAAATGCGCCAGGTTAAACGGCTACCATCCAAAGTTGGAAGCAGCCGTCCCGATTGTCAGGTGTATTACTAGGCCTGAGACTCTGCTCAGCCTCACTGGGAAAATCAGGAATTTGCAATGGAAGAGGGGGGACGTCTTGATGGCTGTGCTTGCGGATTGAAATGGGTCACCAAGCTGCGCAGGATTCAGGAATTGTTTGCTACAAATAGCCTCTTTTGTCTGTTTTCTCGGGACTTTCACCCCCCCTCAAGTCACATCAAAGACCCAGTGAACTCTTCTCCAAGTCACACTAGCTCGTATATAACATCCTTAACGATTCTTAGTAAAAGTATCAACATCAAGATGAACTACCTGTTGGCTCTAGCTTCTCTCTTGACTCTCATCCATACTCTCCAGGCCGCACCAGCACCAGAAACATCCCATCACGTCTCGGCAAAAGTGCACGTAATAGGGGGGCAAGATGACCCGCTTCATCCTCCCGGATGTCCCGATTGCTGGAGAAAGTATTGATCAGAGTACAAGACCCGAGTTTCAAACAGCTGGTAAGAAAATGAAATCTTCTCCGCTCTGTCAGACTCCATCCTGCATCAATTGACCCACTGCCCCACCTTTTAAAACCTATATGTAGTCTGCCTAAAAGCAAAATCATCGATCACAGTCATTCCGATCTCGTGAGACTTCGTGGATCGCATTCGCTGCTTTTTGGAAACCTCACTCTGGCCGCGGTCTTTATCTATTCTTCATCTTTCTCTTCCAACTTGTCACCCATGTTTGTTGTTGTTGAGAGAAAAGGCGCGACTCCCATCTGTTTTTTTTTTCCATAAGTTACTCTCTTGTCAAGAAATCTATCGGTGTTAATATGAAAAAAAATGCTGGCTGGATTGTGGAAGTTTAGAAATGTGCGCTGAGTGTACTGTGAAGTGATGGGAAGTATCGAAATGAAGCTTGAAACGAGCTTGCTTGAGTGGACACCTCATTCCATCTTTGTGAGCCCCTCGATTTTAGCTGCCGATCAGAGCAGAGTACTGTAGAGGACACTGGACCTCCCCTTCCCTACTTTGAATGGTCTTGAAAAAGTTTACAAGCGATAAGACCATTTTAGTCTAATTGCCCAATCCAACTCGGAGTCGGAAGCCACCACTTGATTTTACCCAGAAGGCATCCGGATCTCATTGCACTTTGTTATATCCCAGTGCCACTACTTTTTGGAGACTACAAATACGAGTCAGCTCTCGCTCCTTTTAGCTCCTTATCAGTGTACTCCTGTCTAGAGAAATAATGCAATCCGGCTTCAAACTCTTACTGAAGCTGCCGATTCAGAGAATGACTGGATTGTCAAAATCCGAGCCGACTGTCCCCACCAGCCTACCGAGTTCTACTGGATCTTGGTATTTTTGTGTATCTAAGAAGACGACAGCAAAGCCGACCGCCGCCGCCCAAGGCCCGAGGCTGCAAAGTTGCAACAAAACTTCCGGGTCTTCCCATCAGGAGACGTGCTCTTCTACTCCAATCACTCAATCCATTCAGGAATAGTTGAAACCAAAGCAGCCGGAATGGAGTACATAAGGGGCTCCAGCATCAATCTTGTGGCAGCCCTATCCATCCCCACAGTTTTCAAATTAGAAAATTGGAGAGTTCGGATCTTGGTTACCTACATGCATAGCACAGATGTGGTAGAAAAACTGCATCAATTTAAATGATGGCAAAATGGGTCCAAATGGCCCCAGACAAGTCAGGCCGGCACGGTTGCGCTTAGCAAATAACGGTATTGTCAGAAGCTTGAGAATGAAAAAGATAGTATCCATCTCTGGATTTCTTGCATATTTAGCACACATCTATCTCAAAGGCTTCACAACCACTGCCTCTCGCTTACCACAGCCTCAGGACTGAACGATTCAAGAAACTCCTGCTCCAGCTGCTCAAGTGCTTGGGAATTGGGAAACTTGAACAAGCCGCAAGTAGTTTTGAGCCAACCCAATTGCATACTCAAGTCCGGCCGTGCTCAAACTTGGCAAACGTCCCTCCGGAGTCCGAGGAGGTCGCCAACCGGGGGCAATCTTCTGGGGACCTGGTTGGCTTTTGCCGATTGTCTGGCTAATTAGGTACATCCTGACATGCTCAGCCTCACGGTCACCTGCCGGAAAATCAAGAATTCGCAATGAACACAATTGAAAGACATGGAAGGGCTGTGCTCATTGAAAACCAATGGGTCAAAATTGCATAGGAACTCTGGCTATAAATAGCCTCCCTTTTCCCTTTTCTTGTGACGACTTTCATAAAACCGCCAAGTCACTTCAAAAACCCAGTGAACTCTTCTCCAAGTTGAACAGCAGCTCGTACATATCATCCTTAACAATTTGTAGTAAAAATGTTTACATCGAGATGAATTACCTGTTTTCTCTAGCCTGTCTCTTGACTCTCATCCATACTCTCCAGGCCGCACCAGCACCAGATACTTTCCAAGGCATCCCGACGAGAATGCACCGGGGAAACGATAACGATATCGGATCGGGCGGGATGGGTTGTCCCACTTGCTAAGGAAAACATTGATCAGAGTAGGACATGCGAGTTTCAAAGAGCTGGTACATATAAAATTGCATTTTTTTTCCTCTTTCTTCTTTTTCTTAAATTTTTTTTATACAAAACAACGAATTCCTCTCCACTCGGTCAGACTCGATCCTGCATTTAATTGACCCGCTGCTCCACCTTTTGAAATGAAGTTTAGTCTGGCTAAAAAAACAATACATCGACCACAGTCATTCGGATCTCGTTGGACTTTGTGGACCGCTTTCGCTACTTTTTGGCAACGGCACTCCGGCCTCTGTCTTCTTCTCTTTCTCTTCCAGCTTATCACCCATGTTTATTGTTGTTGATAAAGAAAGAGTCAAATTGATCAGGTTTTGATTCAGAAGCTACCCTCTTTTCACGAAATATATTGGTGTTGATATGAAAAAAAATGCTGGGTGGATAGTAGACATGCCTACTGAGCGTAATATAGTGTCAAAGGACGGATACTTCCTCAAGTACAACCGTGTTTCTTTTTTGTGAGCTCCTTCATGTTATCTAGCTGCCGATCAGAGCAGAGTAGTGTAGATATGAGAATGGCATGTGAGCTTTATCTCAAGGGGACTTGAGAACCGTACCCTGACGCAACTCCGGTTTATCATTGACTTCAGCTGGGCCTTTCCTTCTCTAGTTGAATGAACTGAGACAGCGTTCAAGACCATCTCAGTCCTACTATCCAAGTAATCTCGGAGTCAGAATGCACAACTTGAATTCGTCCAGAAGGCATCTGGATCTCGCCGCACTTTGTGTCAGGCTACGTTTTGGAAACTCGACTATTCAGTTCTAGCTTCTTTTGGCAACCTTTCACTAACGTGAATCCTGATGAGAAAATAAATCCAATGCAGCTTCAGACTGTTGCTGAAGCTGCCAATTCATACCATGGCCGGATTGTTGAAATCTAAGATAACGGTCTACCACTGCCAGTCACCCTGATTAAATGTCATTTTTGTCCAAGAAAAAGAAGTCAAGTGCTTGGGCAAACACCGCCATCCGAGACGAGAAAGTTGCATGAGACGAGAAAGTTGCATCAAAACTTGCGCGTCCTCCAATCAGGAGACGTGTCCTACTCGAGCAAGATCTATATCCATAAGGAATGCCTTTTCAAAATAAGCACGAATGGATGGAGCAGGGTAGAGTAAGATGCCCCACCCCCAATCTCAAGCTGACCTCAGCGCCCACTCCGTCCTCGCTCATGGTATTCCCCCAAGTCTTAACATCACAGACGTGGAGAACACAATGCCCAGATATACATGTATTTATTTATGTACCCACTCGAACGATCTTAGAACTCCCACTGCGTGAGCCATCTGCTCAGACTGGCCAGCCCGACGAATTCTCGGACCGGCCTGTCCGAGCAGTACTCGGACATGGTTGTCCGACGAGAGGTCGGACTCGCCTGTCCGAGCAGATCGTTCCGCCCATCAACAGCTCGGACAAGCCAGTTCGACGACTCGTCGGACGGCTATGTCCGAGAACTGCTCGGGCAGGCCGGTCCGATGACTTGTTGGACCGGCATGTCCGAGCAGTTCGCTGAGGCAGTGTCCTCAGGCAGGCCGGCATGATTATCCTTTAAATCATTAGATAACGATATGTATTGCTAACAGACTGAGATTTAAACAAGACAACATATAATATCTTGGGAATCATTGCTCCTACTCCAACCATTCAAACGCTTGGGAATTGGGCCGCTTTGGCAACCCGCAAGTGGTGTCGAGCTGGCCTACAGTGCAATTTATAAATATAAATCCGGCCCTGTCCGGCCATTGCGGGGAAGGAGCAAACGGTGACGAAACCATCGAATGGCCGAACCAGCCGGAGGCAGTGTGCATTTCCCGGGCAACTGTGCCTGACTATCTGGCCGTCATTGAGATGTGAAATGATCACCTGGGAAATCAGAAATCTACAATTGATTAGATTCAAGGGAATCGTGAGGGGACATCGGCATGAGAGGGTTTGCTTATCATGTTAAAAGGCTGCCTCTCTTTCGCTTGACCATCGACTTCCTCCTCTCTCCCCACTGACTCCCAAAGACCCATTGACCAAGACTATTTCTCCCCAAGTTGATCAAAGCCGACTTCAAGCTTGTATAGCTCTTTCGATACATAGTACGATCACCATGAATTACCTGTTGGCTATTATTGCTTGTATTTTGACTCTCATCAATACCCTGCGAGCCGCACCAGCCTCAGTTGGCTCTGGGGACCTCCGTCCCAAGCATACTCACGACACCAGACGTGTCATTGGGTATAACCCCACACCTGGGACCCAGCCCGATCCACCATGTCCCGGCGCCGGTTGCTAGAAAAAGACGACAAGGATTCAAAACATACTCGAGTCTTGCTGGGCTGGTTAGTTCAACTGATCTCTTTTTCATGACTCCGCATCTTCAACGATTAAATTTTATATCAATTGACTCCTCTCTTCACTTTTGGTTCGATGAAAACCTTGTACTGTAGTCTAGTCATTCAGACGACGAGTTCGATCCAATTGGTTAATCGATCACCCGAGAGAATCACCAATGAAATCGATCCGGATCTTGCTGGACTTTGTATTCTACTTTCTTGGAAAAATAAATCTGGCTCTTTTTTATCGTCATCAACCTTTATGATTGTTGAAGGCGGAAAGAAAAGAAGAAGTGCTATGTACTCCTTTATGAAAGAATACGTTACTCAAAGCGATGTTGATTGGACAGTGGACAGGCGAGCTGGATGAGCACTATATGTCAAAGGAAGGGATCAACCAGATTGAAGCATGAATTGTGCTTCCTTGAGGGTTGTTGAACTTGCAGTCCGGGGATTCATTCTCATCCCGCTGCGGCGCTGCGAAGCAGAACAGATTAGTGAGATGAACAAGGTTCAAACCCTAGATTGAGTTGTATCGAATGTAGTTAAAGCTTGTCCATCATGTTATCATGTTGTTTTCTCTTTTCCTCATTCGATCTTCTTTTCTTGTTCCTTGTCTCACTCGCGCCTCTCTTCATTCTGCTCCTTCGCCACAGGTCTGTTTTCTTCTCATCTCTCATTCTCACTTCTCTTTTGTTTGTGTTTCTTTCTTCTCATCACCTTTCATTTCTAGGTTCGCTTCGTCTCTTGCTCTCTTGTTAGTTCACGGTGTTCGTGCCCTAACACCTCGGTTGGAAACCTCAGGTTAGAAATGAAATTAGATTCGATCTTCTTTTCTTGTTCCTTGTCTCACTCGCGCCTCTCTTCATTCTGCTCCTTCGCCACAGGTTCGCTTCGTCTCTTGCTCTCTTGTTAGTTCACGGTGTTCGTGCCCTAACACCTCGGTTGGAAACCTCAGGTTCGCTTCGTCTCTTGCTCTCTTGTTAGTTCACGGTGTTCGTGCCCTAACACCTCGGTTGGAAACCTCAGTTCTTTAAGGGTTTCCACATTCCATTTTCTGAGCCCTTGATAGTCACCCGATCTGAACAGAGTATTGCATAGACGCGGACTGACTGGATCATAGAAAGAATTAACTTGCCCAAATTGAAATCCTTGGTGCTTTGCTATCTTGCTTAGCAAATATTTATGTTGATTCTGAGGTCACTTTCCTGAATCTAGCGGTGGGATTCTTGAAGGAAAGAGTTAAAAGACTCTCGAGCAGGAGGGACTGTTGGTTCGGAATCGAAACTATAAGGAAAGCCGGACATGGGTTTAATCAAGGGCCAAGGCCCAGGTGTGTCGCAACTGACAAGCTTCCTTTTCATCTTGCCCACATACAATCTGACCTGAGGCTGAGATCGGCCGGAGGAAAGGAAGTTGTGCAATTTGGACCCATGGAGCGTATTCAAGCAAGCTTCGACAATGAAAGACTGTTGGATCCAGATTGAGACAACAACTCAAACAAACATGCAATGCCAGCTGGGAATTGACGAGTTATTTGCAATTGATGTTGGTATCCACTAGCTACACTTACAACAAAATCTGCCCACTCTTTGTCTCTGCACTTTGCTCTGGCCTGCCCACAGAACTTGATAAGTACATCGAAACTTCTTCTCTCAAACTTGATCAAACCACTCAAGCATTAGCCACCTTTGCCCTTGTGGATCGTTTGCATTTTCATACACACCTATTTAATTACACATATTTACATACGATAACCTCATCATGAATTGTCTAGTAGTTGTTATTGGGTATCTGTGGATTCTCCTCCATCATCACACCGTCCGGACTGCAGCGATAGGCTTTCCTCGCGGCTATAGGGGGATTCACAACCCATACACCCCCTCCCCCAGATGTCCTCACTGTCACTAAAAGCTACCATCCATCCGGATTATGTCGACAATACTTTTTTTTTACAAACAACCTGGTTAGTTCGTTTTCTGCCAAAAAAGTAATCCTTGATCTCCATTCAAATTTTCTCCATCGATTGATTATCCAATTGCGCTTGATCTTTTGTTCCTTAAAGAAATCAAGTTAACGGTCATCTCTGAGCCGCCCCTGACAGACACTACGTGCGATGGTTGGAACTGTCAAAGAGAGAGCCTTGATTAGCCAGCTTCCCTTTTGGACTCATGTTTATCCCCGCGACCCTCTCCCTGCTTTTCTCTTTCTAGAATAATGTGTCCCTTCTGTTTCTCTCTCTCTCTCTCTCTCTCTTGCTCTTGGCATTTATTAAAGCATCAACTTCACTCGAATTTCACTTTCCTTGTTTCCCTTGTCTTTCATTAGTTCGTCTCCTGCGTTTGCACATACCGTGGCCTATTGTGTGTCTGTATAAATGTAGGCTGCTTGAGCCTCTTCCAGCATGTCATATAATCAAAGTCGAAATATGGTCTTGTCAATAAATCCAAGCAGCCTCATCCGGATCTCTCTCCCTATATTGCACGTTGTTTCTTTGCTTTCATCAATAAAGAAAACCATCCGCCTGCTCGTTTGTTTCTTCAATACAAAGTATCCCCACCCTCACTATCACTGTTGAAAGAGGGAGAGAGAAAAGGAAATTAAGCTGGCTTTCAAGTCCCCCTTCTATCGCTTATCAGAGGGCAGATTAGAGAGTTCAAAAAATGTGATTTGTGGAGTGAATAATATTTTTTTAAAAGAAAGGAAAGTAGCCAAGAAGAGTGAAGCTTGGATCGTGTTTTTTTCGTGAGTGACAAACTCCCAAGTCACACCGTACTTGTGAGCTTTGACTTAACCGGTTGTCGAATCTTGGTGTATTAGAGCCTTTTTTTTCTCTGTCTCTTTCTTAGGAGGGGATTTAGTGATTGCGTTCAGGAGAATAAATTCAACAGACCAATTTGAACAAGAGAGAAAGAAAGAATACTCTTCCTCTCGTACATCGGTCTCTTGGAAGAAACAAAAACGGTGATCGAGCGGGTACGTCAGTCTGCACTACATAGATCACAATGGATTTGACATCATCAAGTGACCATCGATCACAAAATTTAGTCTTTTTTTTTCAAGTGTTATGTTATGATATCTACGAAACATGGAGACAATGATAATCGAATTGGTGACAACAGATCCTCCTCTCCAAACCAAGAAGGCGGGGGGGGGGGGAAGTATTTTCTTTCAGGGTAAGGCTGCGAATTCAAATCGTCATCCGACCCGCCGGTCTGCCTCGCAACCGTTTTCCATGTTGTACTCGAGGACCCCATCTATTTTTTTTTTTTTTTTCAATTCAAGAAACAGGATCGTTCAGCAAACGGATGGTGGATGTTATGTTATGTGTTAGTGATTTAAGAATTTAGTACGAAGCGACTGACCCTCTGAATTTCTTAGGTTTTCGGACTCCGACTGCGAATTCTTTGGGATCCAAGCCTTGTCTAAATAAGATAAGATCTCTGAGTATCCCACAAGTTTTTTTTTTTTTTTTTTGCTTTTGAGATTATATGCACCTGAATAGTTCCATAGATCGTAATAGATATCGGCGTTCCTTAGGGACCGATAGAGTGCCATCCTTGACCAAATCAGTTTTCGGTTCCAAGGAGAAGAGTTGGTCCCATTCGGTGAATTTATTGGTGAGTGATAAGAGTGAAGGTCTCCTCAGAGATTCGAGGAAAGCCTCGACGGTTTCGATTCCATCTATTTCCGAAGGAGGGTCAGTTGGTTGTATATCCGATCAATCGATTGATGGTCTTACGATGTGGTTTGGGTATCCTCGGTGGAGATGGTTTGTGGACGAATCTGGCGAACTTGGGTGTCTGTTGAGTAGGTTTGGAAGTTGTTTGTTTCGTTGTTGATGTAGCTGCTGTTGCTGCTGTTGTTGCTGCTGCTGCTGTTGTTGTTGTTGTTGTTGTTGAGTAGTAGGAGGCTGTTGTTGTTCGGTTGAGGTTGAGGTTGAGTTGGTTGAGCAGTAGTCTCGATCTGAACATCTTGGGTGTTGTTGTTGGTTGTTTTTGTTGTGCTGTGTTGTGCTGTGGTTGTTGCTGTGGCAGAAAGTAAAACAGGGTGGAAGTAGTCTGGAGTAGTAGGGATGTCCAGCCCACCACAAAAACTCAACCAGAACCAACATCAACCAACAACCAACAAAGATGGACTTACTCAAATCGATTCAAAACTACATCAACAAGATGATCAACCAATCACCTGGGATCAAAGTACTCCTACTAGACTCAGACACTGTAAGCAAACCAATCATCATCATCTCACAAGAAGCAAGAAACAGATAACTGACACTTAAGGATGCTCCCCAGACTGCTATCATCTCACTAGCTGCCACCCAATCCAACCTATTGGAACACGAGATCTATCTCACCGATTCGATCGCCAACACTAATAGGGACCCAATGCACCATCTCAAGGTATGCATGTCTCCCCAAGATAGCTCTGAAATATCCTAATTAATAAAAAACTGTTTAAATTTGCAGTGTATATGCTTCCTAAGACCGACGGCTGAGAGCTTGAAGGCGATGGAAGAAGAACTCCGGAATCCTCGTTACAAGGAGTATTGGCTCTGTTAGTAATTAAAAAACCTCAAAAGGTTTTTGACTGATGTACTGAGACAGAATGATTAAAACTTATCAGATTTCAGCAATATCCTCAAAAAATCAGAGATCGAAATGTTGGCTGAGGCGGACGAACGTGAGCTCGTAAGAGAGGTTCAGGTCAGTAGTCACCAGCATTCTCTCTTGCTATCATCAACCATCTCACTCTAGCAATCATGGTAGGTCTTTTGCTGTTCTCCTCATCCTACCATATCCCAACAAACCCCCTATATACTTTGTCAATTTTCACTGTTTTTGATGTGACCCTCTCTGTTTTAATTTATGTAAAATTTTACCTAAATCAAACAAGCAAAGGTTCATTTCGAATTATAAAAAAATGAATTATTGACTTGGTTTCCGAAACCCTAATTAAACACCTCTTTTCTCAACAGGAATACTTCGCCGATTACGCGCCGATCACTTCCTCCCACTTCTCACTAAACTTACAACCCTACAATCCTCCACAAAATTCTCATCAACCCACAACGATCTCATTATCCTCACTAGTTGCCCAACCCACAACCCCCCCAGCCAAGAAACCATCCCATCGCTCGTTGCCCCTCTTTGGCGATTCGACCTCCACCTGGAATATCTCTACCGGCGCACTCGAACGGCATGTCCAATGTTTAAGCGCCTTGTGTCTCAGCTTGAAGAAGAAACCGGTGATCCGTTATGCAAAGATGAGCAAGATGGCTAAAAAACTAGGCCAAGAACTACAGGTGAGAATACTGTTCCCAGTTTCTTCTTCTTCGGCCACTTGATTTTGCTGAGTTTTTTTTTTCGTTTTTGGTGCGGATGGGGATGTCGGATTAGTATCAGATGCAGAGTGAACATCAATTGTTTGACTTTAGATTGACTCATCCATCGCCGGTCCTACTGATACTCGATCGTAAACACGATCCAGTCAGTCCACTCTTAACACAATGGACCTATCAAGCGATGGTACATGAAATCCTAGGAATCGACAATGGACGGGTAGATCTTTCGGGGGCGCCGGAGATCCGCGCGGAGTTAAAGGAGATTGTGCTGAGCACGGAACAGGACCCGTTCTTTGCGAAGAACTTGTATGCGAACTTTGGTGACCTCGGCGCCTCGGTGAAGGCCTACGTCTCGGAATACCAGACCAAGACGGTCTCCTCCAAACTGGTGGCTGGCAAGATCGATACCGTCCAAGACATGAAACGCTTCTTGGAGGAATATCCCGAGCATCGGAAGCTCAGTGGCAACGTCAGTAAACACGTCTCTCTGGTCGGCGAATTGAGTCGCTTGGTCGGAGAGTTGAAGTTGTTGGAGGTCAGCGAACTCGAACAGAGTTTGGCTGCCAACGAAAGTCATGGATCAGATCTTAAAGTCAGTGCGCCTTCTTTTCAACCTTCTGTTATACTTACTTCATCTCAACCTGCTTGTGTATTTGGTTCGCGCATAGAATGTTCGCGAGATGATCGCGTCACCTCAGATCAACACAGATGCGAAGCTAAGACTAGCATTACTGTATGCGTTACGCTACCAAAAATTCAATGGGAACTGTATAGTCGGGATAGTCGAATTACTGAAACAATACTCGGTATCCGAACAAGATGCCCGACTGGTATATGTGATGTTGAACTTTGCGGGGCAGGAGGAACGACAGGACGATCTGTTCTCGAATGCGAATTTTTTCAGCCGGGGCAAGTCGGCATTGAAAGGCCTGAAAGGGGTCGAGAACGTGTACACCCAACATACCCCGCCCCTGGTCGAAACGGTCGAGCAATTGTTGAAGGGTCGATTGAAGGAGACCGGCTATCCGATCCTCGATCCCCCTGCCGACCCCGCTAAAAACTACCACTCTTCTTCTTCGGCGGCAAACAATCAATCTTCTTCCGCTGCTGCTGCCCAGAATTTGCCTACGAGGCCGATCGAAGTCGTCGTCTTCGTCGTCGGCGGATCTACCTATGAGGAGGCCCGAAGTATCGCCCTCCTCAACGATCGGCTCGCCTCCGGAGTCGGCTTCTCTGGCCCTGGTCCGCAACCGCAATTAGGTGCTCGAGTGATCTTGGGCGGAACATATGTCCACAACTCTAGAACGTACGTCCTACTCCATGCTTTTTTTCCTGGTATATGTATATATATATGCTGAGAATCTGCTTTGACTTGTTGTGGACCAGGTTCTTGGATTGGCTGCGCGATCTGGGGACGAAGTATCCGGAATACACGGAACCGAAGCCGAGTCTGATCGCCAGTGGTTCGAGCCAAGGAGACATGAGCTTTGGGGATGGCGGATTCAACCTCCAACTGGGCAACTTATCAGTCAATGTCGGCTCTGGGGCTGGTGGGAGTGGGGTTAATGGAGCCGGATCTAGGCCGGTTGCCGCTGGGCTCGAGGAGTTCGGCGACGCCGCCGTCGACGGCGTTCGTAATCTGTTTGGTAGGGTCCGCAAGGGCGTCGTCGGCGGCTTCTGAGCTCCCACCCTACTCCTCTCCCTTCTTCCTTTCCTTTTTCCACTCTGGTTTGGTTTGTTTAATCATTCATAGATTGTACTCGCTTTTTTTGTGTACTGTCACCAAAATATATTCAGATATGTTTATATAGTTCAACAGCTTAAATTATAAATCAATCTCTCAATCTATCAAAGTCATCCTCAAGTGGAAGTATCGTTGTCGAGCTTGAAGGTCAGTTAGATAACAACCACAAACCTGTTCGACATCCTATCCTTATAACCATTCCTTCAATAGGCTGAGGAGGTCGAGCGAGGGTGTGGTAGTTCCTCTTGGGAGTTATCTCTTTTATAGTTTCATCGAGGTCTTTCGTTATTTAGGCACTAAATGTACAGACAACTTGAATATAGGCATAGTAAGGTTATATCATGCCCTGAGGAAAAGCATATCGGATGGAGGACAAAGAGGGTCCAGTCACTCGCAATGGCTTTGTGTTTTTGGCCGGAGACACAAAACCACTTGCCAAGGAACTGCTTGTCCTCTTCTTATGAGGTTTTTTCTATTTCGTTAACCGTGTGACGGTGACCTGATGGTTCAAGTTGTAAATGTCCTCGTTGAGTTTTAAAGAGAGACCCGACTTGGGCGGCCGGCCTCTATTGAATCGTTAGCTGCGTCCCGATGGCCTCCACATCACCGTCCCTCCGAGGCCTCCAACTGCAGAAAAATGTATCAAGCAATCAGAAATGAAACACACCTTTCCGGAATCCAAGACGGCTCATTCTGTGTACACAGCAGCATCATGAACCCGGTGTCATGTCCACTTTGATCAACCATTGCGGGGTGGCATAAACGACTCGGCATCAAACGGAAGCGGCCGGGATGTCACCCGGCCTGGTGACATCCCGGCCTGGCCGACCGAGTACATGTGTATGATCATTACAGTACATTTTTGGTGTACACCACGGAAGGGGCTATGTATGTATGTATGTAGTCCTCTTTTGCAACTTCCATCCATTTGTCCAGGAATTCCCTGGAAGCCTTGCCACACAAATACGTAGATGGCTTGTGCCATATGGCTCGGTCGGACTTGACAATGCTCCAATAGACTCTGTCGGAGTGTTAAGAAGTGGCGAACACAGCTCGCTTGGGGAGACAAGCACAAAAGCAACTACAGCCATTCCCAAAAAGCTGTCACCAACCTTCCTCAGCGCACCGCAACCTCATCTACAACTCCCTTACTCGCATATCATGTTCGTCATGAATTGCTTCCGGAAGGCTTCCATCGGTTTAGCTTTCTTGCCCTATCTGCTCGTTATCCTCCACCTGGCTCAGGTTACACCAGTCGATGCCCGATGGCAATGTATGCCGCACTTCGATGATCAGGTCGGACAGCAAACAGCCAGTAAGAGAATAGAATCAATAGATCACTCATAATCATATCAGATCAATTCCTTAGAATCTAAGCGCTACTAATTCTACATACATAAAAATCTTCCCCATACAACTCGATCAGTCTGCTGGGTTAGCGAGCAGAAAAAGGTCCTATGTCAAAAAAATTCATGTGTGCCATTCTATAATCAGAACCGGCCCTGTGAGTTGATAGTCGATTTCTCATAGCAATGATGATGATGATCACCAAGGCATATATGAACGAAGGCGAACTGACGACTATTTCTTTATCTAACCTAACGATTGTATAACGGCCTGTTGTGATGTGATCAGTCGGTTCACTGACATTTGTAGGCTGCGAAAATAGCAAAGCCGGAAAAACAGGTGTAACAGTCTCGAATCTACGTAACTATCACCACTACCCTAATGGGGATGAGCAAAATGGGCACAAGGGATATGTTGGTGAGTCTTCTTGATGATTGATTTTGGATCGAACTCAGACCAGCACCTGCTTACAATACTTCCTCTCTGGGTTTTGCAGCTGCCTTTGACGGGTCGAGTAAACTTTGGTATAACTGTGCTTATGAGATCAACTCCGACAACATGAACGCTTATAGTGAGTCTGCTTTTTATCCTAATTTAGCTATCTGACAAGAATCTGTAAACTGATTAATCTTCTTTCTTTTCACAAAATAAAAGTCTGTTCAAGTTGCAAGTGATAGACACCATATGTAAATATGTTGTCAAGAGATTATGGCCCTGATTATAAATGGTTTTTTGAAATATATTTGAAAGTTTTTGAAAAGTATTCCAACTTCTTTTTTTTTCTTTTTTTTCTTTTTTTTTTCTTTTTTTTTTTTCTTTGGAAACTTTTCGAATTTTTCTTGTACTGAACCTACAGGCCAAGGAGGATGCAGCTGTCATCAGTTAGTCCAGTTCTGACAAGTCCCAGTTCAGTAAAAAATAAAAAAAAAAATAAAAAAAATAAAAAAGATTCACAAGTCCAAGTGGAACAAGACTTCCCAAATAGCTGTAAGCTCAAAAGTGAAAATGGTCCAACTGCCAGAATCAAACACTTCTGGCATGTTTAAAATGCTATGTATAAGTGGCAGTCAGTGTATTCCAGACAACTAGTTATACCAGCAACCTCAAAGAGAGGCAACCCCCTGAGAGACTGGTTCTAGGAAATATTTAAAGTTTGGCCACACAGGTTCTGTACAACCAATAGCCTGAGAGTTGATGTCAAATTCAATTGCAAGTGTCTCCAATCTAATAGATCCCAAAATTTGTGATAGTAATCTGAATGCTAGTGGACCTGTCATCTCCTTCATATTCTGTCTGGTAGAACAGGTTGGATGGTCTTTCTCTGTCCCTTATTTTTCATCCAGTTGGTTTTTGATTGTTAAGCTGAAGCGGGTACCCACTGTGGATTGTCCTCATGATCCACTAAGGAGGTCCCTTGGGTACCGGTGGTACCCGCTTATGGGTCGCAGGTCCAAGTATGGGTGTCTGAGACTGTCCAAATTTGCAGGGGGTAACAGCACCCACCACAGGTAGCCAGGTGCAAATGGCCATCTCTATGCTACATCGACCAGAGCAGGATATCTCAAGATGGCAGCCAGGTGATCCTATTACAAAGGGTCTCATACTTCCCAGTAATGATGACACCTTTGACTCAAAATTCAATTCACTGGAAAATGGAACAAAATGGCATTCTAATCAATTGGATTTTACAGAATCATTTCAAGTTCATAATGTTGTATGAAGCTATGCAATCAATTCAAAACTCCAAA